CTCCGATGCATCTTTGCCCTTCCTCTTCGGGGCAGGTTTGGGCTTTGCCTCAGCCGCAGCCTTCTTCTGGGCTGGCTTGCGACCTTTCCTCTTGGAATCTTTAGCTTCAGATTCAGGCTCATCAGCCTCATCAGTCGACTTTCGAGCTCGAGAGCTCTTGGGCTTTGGTGCCTTCTTAGCACTCTGAGCTTTGGCCTTGGCCTTGGAATTGCCCTTGGGAGGAGTCTTGCTCTCGGACTTGGGCACCTCCAAGTCCTCTTCAGCTGGATCATCCAAAGGGCCCTGACAAGCCCTTTTCCTGCCCCGCCCTTTGCCCTTCCCTGGCTTGATTTCACTTTGAGCTTTCATCTGGTCCACTCGTCTCAGGACAGGCTCGGAGACTTCCGGAATGGGTTCAGTCTTCATGAGCTCATCCTCCTCCACAATGGCTTCAGCCTCCATGAACCCATCCTCCTCCTCAATGGCGTCAGTCTCCATGAACCCATCCTCCTCCTGAATGACTTCAGTCTGCGCGTGAGAAGGCAAGGGCCCATCCTGTAACTTGGCGAGCTCTGCACTTTCCTGACTTTCGACAGCGGCTCGGGCATGATGGGACACCAGCTCACCTCCAGCGACTTCACGCCGGCTGCCATCAACAGAACCCATGTCCAGGACAGCAGACTCAGCCTCAGTGCTTTTGTTGAGCAGGTCCTGCGCAAACAAATTGTTCACTTGTCAGTTCATCATAAAGGACCCATGTCCTCATCACAGGTCAAATCAATCTCCATCATGGTCTTCTCAAAGGACTGCTTCAAGGCTTGCGAAGAATCAGCCTTAAGTTCCAACATTTAAGAACTCAGGAGCAACAAATTGAAACCTTTGCATTGCATGGGAGGAAGCAGCAAAGAAAAGTAAACACATTCAAGCATAACGCTGCAAGAGAACCTGGCTGGAGCTTTTGCTGCAGGCTTCTAACTGCTGCCTTAGTTTTATTATAATGAATTGGTGTCCCAAACAGGTCGTAAGGGAACATAAGCAGGTTGGACTTTGCAAGATCAAACACCAGAAATTGCAGCCTAAGCACTGCAAAAATATAATCCGCTGGTCAAGCTGATCTGGAAGCCGATCTTGAGACCTGGCAGCCTCTTCGGGTGTGGCCAGTTCCTCTCGCACAGGAGACGGTGAGTACACCTGAGAATCCTCAACAGGCCATTCGCAGACAGCTTGACCGATGTTGAAAGGCAAAGTATCAAAATTTGCTGGATCATTTGGACTAGACCAGCTTTCCTCAACAGGAGCCTCCAGAACTTGAGAGTCGAAGTCCCTTTCAGCACCATCGTTGGCAGGAGGTTCCATGACCAAAGGTTCCAACGGTGGAGGGACCTGGTCCTCCAAGGAATCCAAAAGCATGGAGTCCTCCTGATCATCCATCCCATCCATACCATTGACGACCAATTCCTCCCAAAACAAAACTTTGGAAATATCACCAAGAGCACTGACATAACACAGGCAAAAACATGCAGAGCATCCAAAAGGTAAGCAAACAAAGAAGCAACAACCCAAATAAACTTGCCTCATTTTCATCACCAGGAGCAGCCCTACCGGCATACCAGGCATCATAGAAGATTTGCATAAGGTTCTTGATCTCGGGATCCTACAATCACACATCCATAGTGGCATCATGTTTTGCTGTTTCCAGCTGTTTGCTAGCTTTGGGAGCCCCATTGTGTCCAATGTTAGTTGTGCACTTCAAGTAAGTTTTACAAACATGCTTATTGCAGATAAAGTTCCCTGGGTGCACGTGCCAAGCGTAGAGCCCGAAGAACATGGCTCATCAATTTCCGAAGACCCCATGCAGACGCATGCCTGGATATTTTTCCAGGCATATCCGTAGGTGACATCAGGCTCCAAAACGCTTTGACCTTCACCAAGTGCATATAGAGGAAGTAAACAGTGTGTGAAAGCAACACATAACTCACCACACAATTCTTTACCATGCCTGGCCTCAATAGACAGACTGCCAAGAGGTGGAGTTCTGGGGGTTCCAGCACTTTCAAAGTCAAAGATCTCAACCCAAGCTCTGGCCAAGTGTTCAAGGACACGAACGTTGAGCTTTACCGCTTGCCTTAGAACGGTGGAGGTTTTCAAGTAGGAACTTCAAATAACAGAGCCACGTGCACACCGTTCATGTGTATTTGGGAGAACTTTCACAAGTATTGAACCATGTTGAGACCAGGTTCATGGATGGAACTCCCACGGTTTCTGGGCTAGGCCACACCACCAGCGATTGCTTATCCCTGACAAGTCGGCGAACAACCTCATCGCTTTCCCAGGTCGCCGCAAGACCCTGGAGTCTGATGGCCATCGTGTCTCAGATGAGAGGAGCTCTAACTAACTTAAGATGTAAGCCAATTGCTTTTTGACACAGGCAAAGCTTGGACATGAACTGTCACAAGTGAGCAGCATTCTGAGACCTAACAGGTTCACAGCCTTTGAGGTTGGGAGAAGACCGCACCGAGTCTCGAGCCATTTGCACGGACCACCAACCTGCGTGGTGAAAGGCATCAGGTTCTTCACTCAGCATGTTTGAGTTGTTTCTTCCCACCATAACCCTATGCGGCAGTGCGAATTCAGCAATTTGCCTTTTGCTCTTGAAGATTTGTTTCACTTCTGTTCAAACTGTCACACTGTTGTACATCAGAGGTTCGGAGGACCGTGCAAGTCTTGGCTCATGCGTTCACTCTTGCGACTCTGCGCTGCTCGCCTGCCAGAGCAAAGTGAGAAAAGTTGCATCATGAAGCACAAGGGGTGCTTCATTCCCTAAAGCGGCTGAGGCACATTGTAGTCATCTCCTGACACACCCCAAGGTTTGGTCCCCAAAAGTTCAATCCTTTAAACACCTGAAACATGTGTTCAATTTGTTTGAGATAAACCCATTGGAGAAACCAAGTCAGTCAACTCCTGAGCGGTGTCGCTTCACGCAATTCGCCACCAGACCACCGTCATCATAGTTCTTAAGCAACGACTTAAAGCTTACCTCACCCAACTCCACATCCTTAGTTTTGAAATGGCCACATGGGGATGGGATGGTCTGTGGTTAGAATACAAGGTTAGAATACAAGGTTTCCCACAAAGATGTGTCTCATTAACTTTCAAGCAACCTTTGGTGATGCGTGAATCACCTTCAAAATCTCAGTCCAGAAGGTGTCAGGCAGATCGAGCAGGCCTTTCAAGATCCAACC